CTAGCTGCTGCCTGTCTGTCAGGAAGCTGGTGATCCACTGACAGATGGAGGTGGGTACAGAGAGCTGGGTCAGTTTATTCTGAAGGGTGTCCGGGATGATGGTGTTGAAAGCGGAGCTGAAGTCCACAAACAAGATCCTTGCATAAGTCCCTGGTTTGTCCAGATGTTGGAGGATGTAGTGCAATCCCATATTGACTGCATCATCCACAGACCTGTTTGCTCGGTAAGCAAAATGCAGGGGGTCCAGCAAGGGTCCAGTAATGTCCTTCAAGTAGTCCAACACCAGTCTCTCAAATGACTTCATGACCACAGATGTTAAAGCAACAAGTCTGTAGTCATTAAGTCCTGTGATTTTTGGTTTCTTGGGTACAGGGTTGATGAGTTGTTGATTGGCCTCAGTGCTGGGGAATGGGGTCTTGTAGCTGGTGATGGCTTTCAGGCCTGTCCACACTGATGTAGAGTCATTACTTGAAAGCTGTTTTTTTTAGCTTGTCAGAGTAGTTTAACTTTGCCACTCTTATCTCCGTATCTTGTTTAAGTTACATGAACAGTAAGATATGGGTCACAATCATCCATCTAGATCAGGGGTGGCGAACTCCGGTCCTGGAGAGCCGCAGTCCTGCAGAGCTCAGCTCCAACCCGAATAAACACTCACCTGCCTGTAGCTTCCTAGTAACCCTTCAGACCTTGATTAGCTTGTTCAGGTGTGTTTGATTAGGGTTGAAGCAAAACTCTGCAGGGCTGCAGCTCTCCAGGACCGACGTTCGCCACCCCTGATCTAGATGTTGGAAGAGGAACGTTCCCAGCCTGTACCAGGGTTGAAAATATATTTGGCAGGGCTGTAGAGTTTTGCACCCTTGTTTTAGGCGATCATTGAGCAGTTGTCTTAGCCAAACCAGGTAGGAATCTTCCTAGACAATGAACCATCACCATCATCATTTTAACTTCTGTTACATTTTGTGGAGGTTGAATATTCATTATAGCCTCAACTTTTTTCATGCCCCAGAAACTGAAACTGTGTTTGTCTTAACAGACATGTTTCATCATTAAGCTTCAGTCCAGCATTACAGAGTGTCTTCAGGACCATCTTTAGGCATTGTTCACAAACCTCCTGTGTTTTACAAAAACCGATTATGTTGTCAATGTATGCTACATTCATTTTTTCTCAGAACTGGCATCATTGATGAACACCATTCCGTTGCTTCCATAATTTCTTCAGTTATGCCACACTTCACCATTCTGTTTGACTTTCGCTTAAGGACACTTTCAGAGCTGTTGTTACTGTGTAAGGCTCCACACCTGCCTTTAGCTTGATTTTCACATCAGTGGATTTTAGGAGCCTGACAGACACTGTCTAGGATCTTTGTCTAGGGTAAAACAACCATGGGAATAATAATAATACTTGATAATATTACTGAATGTATTTATTGCTTGTATAGCTACCGTACAAGAAAGTTAGCATCTTACAAATGCACATACATATGAAATCATGAAGTGAAATGAACTCATCACGTGCTAATTTAGTGCAATACAGACTCAAGATCAAGGAAAGCGATTTTAACAAAATTAAAACGTTTTCTTTTCCAAAAATTACAATAATTAGAATTGAATTGGGTTATGTACCACATAGATAAATGTAGGAAATGTGCTTTTGTACTTTAATTTTGTGGAGCGAGGATGTAATATTAACATTTATAATATATTAAAATAGCATACTAAGATAAGAATGCTCACTAACATTTATAAAACCACCTCTAGATAAACAACGTCAAGAAAAAAACTCCACAGAAAGTTTTTCTAAAAACAAAGCACAGTTTATTAAACATTCAGTAACAAACAAACAGCCCATATGAATCAAGAAAAACAATATTTCTGTTTTTGTTTGCAAATTTTACACACAGGCTTCTATACAATCCTATAGCAGGGGTATATGCATGAAGTAAAGATGTAAAGAGCAGATCTGGCTTTATTTTTCAGAGATCTCCTGAGATGCTTTTCAAAGGATCTAGTTTGGGTGACAGCTACTGTTAAAATAGAAACTGAATCACGTTTGGGATATTTTTACGTTGGTTGTTTTAGATGTGCTGAAATGAAACTAGGCCCAGATATTACAGAGGTTATTAATGCAGAGCAGAAGCTTTATACAGCAGGAGCTGATGAGGTTAAACATGAGATGTAACGATTGTCCCAATGCAGTATTCACAGGTGTGTCATGCTGTGTTGTCATAATTCACTGGCCCTCACTAAACCTGTCTATTAGGCTTCCTTTTCAGTATTGATGGTAAAGGCGTGTATTTAGAGTGTATTCACTGATCAATTGATCAAGCGTTTATAAACTATGTGCGTCTGGCCTGTCAAAGCTGATACATGGCTGCCGTGTCAGTTTAACATATTACACCTCTGACGGCACATTCAACATACAGAACAATTATACAGTCAAACATAAACATATAACACATGGCATACCTGGACATTCCTACAATACATCAATGTGTTTAAAAATAATAAATTAAACAAGAAATTGTGTTTAAGGCTTTTGGGGCTTTTTCCTGGACATTGTGTGGGTATTTTATAAATTAATAAATTACCATTTAAAAGGTTGTTTGAGTAAGAGTTTTCTTATCTTTTAAATGATTTACTACTTTTATTCATTGAGGATGCGTTAAATTAATCAAAGTGACAGTGAAGACTATTCATCAAAGAGTCTTGAAAATAAAAGTACAACACGTTTTCAACATCATTGCTAATAAGAAATGTTTCTTGAGCATCAAAGGTGAATGAATTCTGAAAGATCATTAAGGACTGGAGAAATGGCTTCTAAAAATTACATTTTAAAATATATTAAAAGAGAAAACAGTTATTTCGAACTGTAATAATAATTCACAATATTTTTTGTTTTTACTGTATTTTTGATCATATAAATGCAGCCTTGGTGAACAAAACAGACCTTTAAAAAAAAAAAAAAAACTTGTAAAAATCTTATCGATCACAGACTTTTGAATGTTAGTGTAAATAAGTGCTGAACTGTAATAACTTTAGTCTGCAAATTATTGTCATTTCAACTCAGACAAATAAGAAAACAACATTTTATTCAATTCATTTTAAGACATTCAAATTCCTCATTATGCCTAATGACGACGATACTCATGACCCCATACTATGAAAACTGAATACATTACAGGTTAAATGTGGATGATCAGTTATTTCTACATGCAGGTATTTGTAGAATAATTCTTACCTGTCAAATATTCTACATTCTTTAAATTATCTTAATGATCCTGTGAAAAATATATCTGCTGCAAGATGTTGGATCACTAAATTTCTTTTCACATCCAATCGTCAACCACATTGTATTACATTCAGTCATCATTCATTTACTCATGTCGCTCCAAACCCATATTTGAATTTGAAATTAAATGAGTACTGATGTATACTGAGCTCCAAATATGAGCTAAAAGTATCATAAAATTGAGGAATTGACTGTTCTCTTCCCATTGGACTTCTAAAATAACATTTGCACTTACACATATTCAAACTGGTATGTTGCAATTGGTTATGATAAATGAGACAACCAAAGCCATTCAGCATCATAGATATCAAACCTGATGTGCCATATTTGAATATATGTAAACACACATGAAATTTGAGAGCTTTTTCGGTTTACTTTCATTGAATAGAAAAGACTAAAACTTGTTTTGTTTTAGCACATCTTATGAATCTGGAACAGCACGAGTAAGTGATGACAGAATTCTCATTTTTGGTTAAACTTTTCCTGTAAAACCCCGCAATACAACTGAACATACAACACCCAACTACTGGTCTGTTTAGGACTCTGAAAGCTCTAAAATACATCACCTTAAGCCTTAATATGACATTCAATGATGTTACTACTCCTAGCTCTGCAATTCCTGCAATTCCCACAATTCCAGTTTACTTGAATTTTCTCAATCTATTAACTGCCCGGGCCACAAGTCATAATGGAGCAGGTCAATAAACGCTACAGGAAACACTGTGCACAGTAAGTGCACATTCCTAATGATATGATATATAATGTAAATGACATCTATTGTTGACATAGAGCATGTAACATGCTAGAACCTCTTTCCTCTAGCCCACGTTCTCGTCTCATAAGGTGTGTCCCATACTGCTGCTGACCAGTCCTTTAACGTTTGTCACAGGTCTGACATCATGTAGCTGTTTGCGTCGGTCTATAAACGCAGAGAGTCTGACAGTGTCCAGCGGTATTTTGGAGTAATCTCCACTATGAGCGCTGACCCATGGGTGCTGCAGACATGTAGCTGAGCTTGGCCTCTTCCTGGGGTCCTGGTGAAGCGTGGACACAATGAAGTCTTTGGCGGCCTGGCTAACATCACTGAAGTATTCCTCAGGAAAGCAGAAATCCAGCCTGCAGATGTTGACGCAGGTCTCCTCCAGACTCTCATCCAGGAACGGGGAGACTCCGCTGAGCATGACGTAGGCCAGCACCCCTACACTCCACATGTCTGTGGACAGGGACACCGGGGTGCCCTGGATGAGCTCTGGAGCAGCAAACTCAGGGTTCCCCAGGAGGAGATGCACGTAGCGGTGACCCGAAACCTGTACAGCATCGCCCAGATCTGAGAGCTTCACACAGGGCACCGGCACATGGAGGTCCACCAACAGGTTTTCAGGCTGAAGAATAAGAAAGAGTTAAAAACTCAAGACTCTGCACTAGGTTTCAAAACTCTTTTTAGTGGTCACCTACTTAACACTCTTAAAAATAAAGGTTCCAAAAGGGGGTTTTCACAGCGATGCCATAGAAGAACCAGTTTTGGTTCTCCAAAGAACCTTTCAATTAACAGTTCTTAAAAGAACCATATTTTCTGAGTGTGAAAAACATTTTAATAATCTAAAGAACCTTTTTCCACTATAAAGAACCTTTTGTGGAATGAAAAGGTTCCATGGATGGTAAAGGTTCTTTGTGGAACTATTGATGCCGAAAATAACCTTTATTTTTAAGAGTGTAGTGGGTGCATGCTTGTACAAAACTTAAAATGCTAGTGATGTGGATGTTTGCCAGGGTGTTGCAGGCTATGTGGTTCTTAAGGTGTTCTGAGTGCTTTTAACACATTACTGTGTGGTTGATGGGGTGTTGTTGGGTTTTTATCAAAGTATCTCTCAAAGAAAGTCAGTAGAGCACCTCTGGACAGCTACAGTATTTTAGGCATGTAAGACCAACTCCTATCTACTTGAATGGAGAAATACAGAAATCTCATAAACGTCCTACATCTCAATAGCATATTTCAAATCAGTAATGAAATCTGATATTAACTGTCTCTTAAATGCTATTTCTTACACTCAAATAACATTTTTGAAAACACATTTTTTAGGTTGGTCCAGCCAATGCACATGTGCAGTGCTAAGCGCCAGTCTCAGGATACCTATATTAGATCCGCCAAATTGTGTCTTGCAGTCTCTCCCATTCATAGTAAGAAATGATATTGGTGTATATTTTACTCCTTCAGTTCTACTCCCCATATTCGCTCTGAGTGGGATTCGAACTAGAGACCTGCACTCCCGCGGGAGTACCATGGGACACGCGGGACCCAACACAACAGAGTGCGGCGCGGGACAACTCTTGATGGGCGAGTGCGGGTGCGGGCGGGAAGAGACTCGTGTGTGTGCGGGATGCGG